TCCATGTGGTTGTGGTTTTTTGGATGTTTCTCTACACAAGCTCATTCATGTGAATGAGTGCTTTGTAGGAAGTTTTAATTTTTAAGCATCAATTAGATTTTTCAATTCTTTCTTATTTTGGCTTATCTAACCGCATATAATGTTTCTTGAGCCTTTAAGATGACAATATTTTGAATCTTTTTTGATTATCCATGCAAGTCCAGTTCTGAATTTAATTATGTTACTCAGACCTGAAATCTTTCATGTCTACAACATTTCTACTTCTTTAATGTGACGATGGACCTACTTGCATGGAGAATTCAAGATATTATCATCTTAAATTTACAAAAACATAAAATGCTATTTACAGAATTTGTCTCTATGGATATGATCTATTTCATATCTACAACTTGTTTGAAAATAAAACACGATTTTTTTTGTTTACCTTTTATTGCAGAACTTCAGCATTTGAGGAATAGTTTACCTGATCATGTTGTTGTTCAGCGCATTGAAGAGAGATTGTCAGCGCTTGGGAACTGCATAGCTTGTAATGATCATGTTGCTCTTGCACATACTGACCTTGACAGGGTAAAGTTATCTCCATTTTTTTATAGGTTTTGCATTTTCCGTTTACTGTATTTGTTCTGTCAATTTATGTGATTTATAAGGTTGAATCAATTTGAGGTTTGGTTTATTGTAAAAATTCCACTTTATGTTTTATGCTTGTTCGTGAAGAATCATCCCTTCTAAGGGCTAAGGATGTCATTAGGAATAACATTATGTGACTGAGGACATAAGGAAAAATATCGTGAATGATTTGAAATTAGGTTTTCTGCATATTTGTGGAAGATGCCCTTTCTCAAGGGCTAAGTATATCCATCAGAATGAAAAATGCTATGCCATTTGAGGTCTTAGGTAAACACCTATTAGAATTAGATGGGTCAGGGAGTAGGAGGTGTGCAGCAGTGGTTTYTTGTTAGCTTGAGATTCATTTTGATTCAATGGGATTACAATCTTGTAATAGTTAAGACTGAATTATTTGGCATGGAGGCATACTGTAACTTTCTAAATTTGTGTGTTATATCATATTAATTTGCTAGAACACTTATCCACCGTGCTCATTCTGGTTTTAAAAATTTGCCAGGAAACTGAGGAAATGATTGCAGATGTTCTTGGAGTAGAAGTGTTTAGGCAGACAATTGCAGGAAACATTCTTGTTGGTAGTTATTGTGCCTTCTCCAACAGAGGTGGATTGGTACGTTACAGTAACAATTCTGTATAGTTTATGACTAAAAGGTATCATGAATTTCAGCAGTTCTTCTGAAAAATGTTAAAACAGGTCCATCCCCATACATCGATTGAAGACTTRGATGAGCTTTCCACACTCCTTCAAGTACCTCTGGTGGCTGGGACTGTAAATCGAGGAAGTGAAGTCATTGCTKCTGGCATCACAGTGAATGACTGGACAGCATTCTGTGGGTCAAACACCACAGCAACAGAACTCTCTGTGATCGAGAGTGTCTTCAAGTTGAGAGAAGCCCAACCAAGTGCAATTGTCGATGAGATGAGGAAATCATTAATCGACAGCTATGTGTAGTTTCTCATCTGCTTTTTCGAACCAATTGTACCAGAGCTTGTCTTTTTAATATTACAATTCTATTGTTTTTGAACCAATTCAACTTTTCAACTATAAACAAATGTATGTATGGATAAGCGATCATATTCCTGCTAAAGAATGAAATTAACATGTTGAGTTGCTGATGCAACAAACAAGGTTCAAAGTATCGTTACGTATCGGCCCATATTGGGTGTATCGGGGGTCTGACCGGTTCAGGGGATGGAGTGGTCTTAAACCGGTTCCCCTGAGCTAGTTTTGAAAATAATAAAATAAAAAAGGAGTAAAAAAGTAAGTATCAAACCGTCTGATATGCTGATAGGGGCATATCGGTCGAATTGATGTTTTGAACCTTGGCAACAAAAAGGATGCCTAACATGCAAATGCACAAAAAATATGAAATATCATCATCATAATCATCATCATCATATGTATGCTTATATGTTTATGCTCCATGTGAATATTACCTTTGTTTCTTGTATAGTGTGGATGCCGATACATAGTTCTGGATTTGTGCACATTTCGCAAAAGGGGGCTTACCCTTTGATGGATCCACCTAGGAAACATCGGTAAGGGGCCAACTAGACCTGCAATTGGGTTCAAGTCAGTTTTCGGGTCACTTCAAGTTGAGTCAGATTTCGGGTTAGGGTTGACCCATGGGTCAGATGGATCAATAGTTCAACTATCTTAATCAACTGGTTTTCGACCAAATCAATGGTTACCAAAAATACAGATTCAATTGTTTGGTTCAAATGGTTTGAATAGTTCAACCGGGTGGATCAACATTGGTTTGAAAATAGGAGATTGAGCAGCAACCTGTCTCCCAACTTGACCCGGATACTTTTCAGATTGGGTCAGGTCAGGTTCTTGGGTTCGGTCGACCATCATGATCCAACGTGTAATTTCATGATGCATCTGGTACCATTTCATCACACCTACATCTTGTTTTTCCTTATCTGTGTTGGTTTATTTGACAACCATTGACCTTGTGGCCTCATTAATAGTCCATTCAAATCACCTTTGATCCGAAAATTGAGGCGTRGGTGAAGATTGAAATCACCAAATCCATGTTTTAAAAACTAACCAAAGGGGTAGGGGTGAGCAAACGGTCTATTCACTTGAAAATCAATCTGAATAAATCAAAATTTTTTGTTCTGTATTTGGTTATTTTGGTTAAAATCGAATTTCAATACTATATATTTTAATATRTAATGTAATACAATATATTATATTTTATACATATTATATATGTAATATATGTTAATATAAATTATAGGTAATAAAGTTTGGTTAATTTGATTTTTTCGGTTAACCAAATTTCTAAACCGAAATAACCAAAAACCAAAAAAACTGAAATCAAAATTTTTGATTCAGTTATTTGATTTTAATCGAATAATGCTCACCCCTACAAAGGGATGGACCAATGACTATCACAAGTGTAAAAGTTGGATAGTATATATAAAATAATATAGCAACCAAACTAGTTGAATAGTATATATAAAATAAATATAGCAACCAAACTTGCTAAACAAATTAATGTTTCAACCATTGGGTTTACAAGTTATTGGCCCTATCAATTTTTGAACCACTGTTGATTGATACAATACAACTTGTCAGACTGTTTGGCCTGGGAACTGTCTAGGCAACTTGTTCTGTTTTACCTCAAATTGGTCTTAGCCCAAAAATTGTTGAATTGATCAATAACCTATTCAATGTTTTTTGACCATTCTTTTATCTTAATTATTTTCTTTAATTTTGTAGAACAGGCCATTCATTTGAATTAGATGGTTGAACCATCGATCCGTGGCCAGGTTCTCATTCTTGGAATGTCTATTCCTCCCGCTTGTTTGCTTTATGCAGGAAACGGAATCAAAATCATAATCAGAAATAGCTGGAAGGGATTCTCATTCTTAAGGGAGGGTCCATCAGGAATGAGAAAGGGATTCCAAATCCACCCAACCAAACGGTCGGCTCTGATTTCGATTCCAAACCCCTATTTTTGCAAATCAAGTGGACCCTAAAATATATGTTTCTAGAAGGTCAAATACTAAAGTGATATATTTAAAAGTTTAAGCCCACCTAAGGCCCCTAAGGTGAAACTACCCCAAAGTAAAGTAGAGGGTACCTATCCTCAATTTACCCTAAATTCGAAAACGGTAAACTTTATTATAAAATATTTACATCCGGATTACATCATATCACTCCGACACGTGGCTAGGTGGATGGCCCCATTTGGCGTCATTCCATGGCTGTTATATGTATTATTCGACACAATTTGATATGTATCAGTTTTGGAGTTTACCAACACGTGGCTAGGTGGATGGCCCCATTTGGCGTCATTCCGTGATTGAGATTGACTGTATATTCATCCACATTAATCCATACTCAACTTCTATGGCTGTTATAAACCATTACAATCCCATGATTGAGATTGACCATTAAAAACTAGGGTACCTCTGAAATTTTTGGCTGTTGTTGAAACCTTTAAAGTTTAGTAATTGAAGTCATCTCACTTGATTTGGCTGCTACTTCACACCCTTGTAATCTCTGTTCTGAAATTGATTTGGYTTTTAAATTTGGCCTTAGTGGAACCAGCTTTGGAACTGAACTTAACTTGAAATAAATCCCAAAATACTTTAAGGATGTGAATATTTGAATTCAAGTACTCATGGTTACAAAGACTATGGTCTCACTTGACCATTTAGCCACTTGAGTGATTTTATCATTTTTCTTCAATTTAATAATTGAATGTGTATAATAAGTAATGTAAAATGTTTTACAAAATTTAAATTATAATGAAAATTTTTAACCTATATATATATATTATAACCTATAGAATAAGCTATTCAATTTAATCAAGATTTTAAAAAACAAGCTATTCCATTTTTCTTCAATAAAGAACACTTTCCATGGGTCCTAGAGCTACCAAGGCCAGAAGGTCCAAAACTGACTCTGGAACCGGTCTTAACGGGATAGGTTTCAGTTCCAAAAAAACCTGGAAAGGTTATACCTTGAAACCAAAAACTGACCCATGCTCACCCCAAATTCATTGGCATTTTTACCACCAGAAAACCGAACCAATCTTCAATTTAGTTTTATTGTCATAATTTTGTTATGTTGGATTTATTTAATTTCCCTTATGATATCCACCTATATCTTAATTTTTACCACCAGATATCCCAATTTGTACAAATTGGATTCTTCACCTTTTTCCTCATTAGGCATACTCCCTCTAATTTAGGGAAGTTCGGAACTACTGTTAGACTTTTCCCATAGGCATGCTAGATGGATTTTCATGGTAAAGACTAAGCTTGGCAGAGTAAACAAACATGGCATTTTGTGTCATCTTTTTTTTGGGAAAATTTTCAATCAGTACCCTGTACTTTGGCTTGAGTGACAATTTGGTATCCAAACCTTAAAATGCAACAACCCAGTACCCGAACTTTCAAAATGTGACAATCCAATACCTTCCGTTAATCAGTTCATTAATCAGCTGTTAAGTGACATTTGAAAATGCCCTTCGAATGCCATCTAATTCTCTTTATCAACCATCCAAATGTTGACAAAAAACTTAACAGTCCCAAATCCTAGCTTCTTCTATTCAAAATAAATTGGTGACTTTAGAAAAATCTAGAATTTGGGACTGTTCATTTTGTTGTCAATGTTTGGATGGTTGATAAAGAGAATTAGATGACATTCGAAGAGCATTTTTGACTTTTCAAATGTCACTTGACAGTTGATTAACGGTAGGTACTGAATTGTCACATTTTGAAACCTCGAGTACTGGATTGTCGCATTTTAAAAGTTTGGGTACCGAATTGTCGCATTTTAAAATCCGGGGACCAAATTGTCACTCGAGCCAAAATACCTAATACTAATCGGGAATTTTTCCTTTTTTTCACTATTCATGAGTTAAGCAGCCAGGTAAGCTCTTGGTGCTAGGGAGAAGAGGGTTTGCAGGTTAGCAGACTCCCTCCTACACTGCCTACTATTAGCTTTAAAGTATCGACACAATACGTCTTGTATCAGGTGTATCATATCGAATTGGCCACCAGCCGATGGACCTGTTTAAGGTTAATCCCAAAACTAACTGTTTTAAATTTAAATGTTAAATAATGTTTAAATCTAATCCATCTCCATTTTAAAAAAAAAAATCTAAAAATATGATATGCACGTACAAAGTATGGATAGACCCCTTCCGCTGTATCGGTGTACCAATACCATTCACCTTATCTACTCAGAGTAACTTTTTAAGCCAAAAAGGCAAAGTTTCATTCATAAAATGCTCATATTACAATTAGAGAACAAACAACAAGTAAAAGTAAGCAACATTATAAGACAAACTAGACTTGTTGTGCAAAGCAATAACCATGAGCACCAGGAGTGAAATAGCTCAAGAAAATCTCTCCAAATGGCATAAAGTCAAGAAACATAAAAAAGAAGGCATTGGGCCTCCAATAGAGAAAGTAATAACCGCAACTTCCTCGGCAACATCAATAGAACCAATCAAGGTTCAAAAAATCGAGAGCACTCCGATACTCCCCTATAGAGGGTGTATCCAAGGTTCAAAGTATCGGAAATGCTATGCGTATCGGAAAGACAAATTTAAGAGACGTATCGGGATATACCTTGGATACACATAGATACAGACGAAAAATTAAGATACGCATGGAAACACATGGAAACACCATAAATACTCTAATAAATCATAAAATATCACTAAATATAAAACATAAATGAGCTATTTATGCATAAAAATAACATGTTTTAGTGGGTTTTATAAAAAAAAAACATATTATAATCAATAAACGGGAAGTCAAGAACATAAACATACTATCTAATTATGGACATTATAGATCAAGAAATTATTTTGCATGTTTTATTCTAATTTTTTAAAAACTAAATAATTATTTATTTTTATTCAAATATTTATTTTGCATGTTTTATTCTAAAAATTAAATTAAAATTAAGAACATATGTAAAAAAAATTTGAACTTTGGGTGTATCGGGGTTTTGACGGTTCAGGGGGTGGAGGAACCTTAAACTGGCCCCCCTAAACCAGATTTGAAAAAAAATTAAAAATAAAAAAAAAGTACCGATATGCCCCTACCAGCGTATCAGACATATCAATATATAGAACCTTGGAAGCAGTTGCAAAGCCCTTAAGACTGGGACTTAATTTGAAGAAAACATAGTGCTATGGCAAACCCAAACCACAGCAAAACCTTAACACCAGGGCTTACATGGATGTTGGAGAAGGTCCAAAATCCCCTATTGCAAATACGGATCAAACCATTTTCTCTCAACGCTGGTGGTTAATTTGAACGTACATTTACATTTACCAAATTATACATACATCAAACTTGGCAGTACAAAGGGCAAATGAAATGTAAAAAACAAATGGAAATTTTATCTGGTAGATTTTACACGCAATTTGTCAGCAACATAGAGGAGGTGACTGATGTTGGTAGAAGGATAGTTTTGAAGTAGCTTGAGATTGGAAGTAAAATCGCCTGCTAATAAACGCCTCCGGATGAGAATCAGCATGGCACAGCATATACGAAGCAGCGTGTCCTGCACTTGCAACATCAAGTCTTATTTCCACGTTCTTTGCAAGAAGATAAATTCTGTTCATTCCTTAACACCATCTTTTCTCCACAAGCAAAGCAAAAAGAATGGGCAAATATTTGGCTCCCACCTGGTCAAAGGACATGACATGCATCCAACCAAATGCATTTTACACTTTGATTTTAGGTTTAGAGGTTTAGGGTCTAGAATTTAGGGTTATGAAAATCAAGAGGTGGCCAGACACTTTTGCTAATCATGGTAGGACTGTAGGAGCATAGTAAAACCCAAAAGAAAGGAGAGAAAACGGCACTAATAGGCATGAAGATACAAGGTTAACTAGATAAATTCTTACCTGAGGACCTTCAGGATCGCTTAAAAGTGTGTCCCAAATGTGAAGGCTGTCCGCAAAATTGAATTCTTGAGTCAACAGGAGAGTTATCCATCTAAATGCATAGAACTGTGGATTCACCTACATTTCCAAATAAAAAGCATTCAGGCATTTTAAGTGAGGATTTTTCAAGCTTGCATCTAAATATTACTTTGAGAAAAAGTAAAATGGACAAAAGTTTTGATCAATTGAATTATTCAACCACGGTGCTTGATCCTTGTTGGATTGAGATGCTTTAAGCCCTTGGCATGCCACAACATGGCCCTAAAGTTTAATCATATGTTGTCGGATAGAATTTTAGCGATCTTGACATCATTTGGCTTGATCCCCAATAGGATATCTTCACAAGGAAACTGTAATGACACTCCAATTTCTGAAATTGACCATGCTGGATAAACCTTTTTTTAGTCCATGTTGAATAATGTGTCATAATGTCTCAAGGCTCATTCTTAACACTAACATTTGACATTGAAAAGAAGAACAATACTTGCAAAAGTTCTTCAAAAATTTGCAACTTATTTTTTCTATTATCTTATTGCAAAGAATGTTGTTCTAAAATCTGAAGAATTCTGAGAGATGGCTATTTTATAATTTTACCCCTATGGATGAATCTAATTGGTTATTATATATTTGTTAACACTAAAATGTTTCCCCGTGGTTGAAAAACCCTAGGGTTAGGGCTATGTGGTCTCATCACAAGGTACTAATAGTGCATTGGGCTCATCACAGCTTGTCTTTGCTTTTTATTTAGTTTATATTTCTTTTCTATTTTTTCCTAGTTCGGATACTATTCCTCAATTTGCCAAGCTCATGGCTTCAACTAGAAGACACCATTCAAAGTATTTCTTGAAATGTTACTGAACTTGGGAAACTTCTCTTTCCCCTCTGCATAGACGAACCACATTTTCAGGCCTCTTGCTCGGATGTGGATGAAATCCGATAATCCAACCAATCCGATGGATTCGAATTCGATCTAGAATGTTTAATCTGATCGGATTTTAGATCGAACTCGGATGCTGCAGATTTTTAATCAAATCAAACTCGAAGGAAGGTATATCCGATCCGATTACAACACTAGTAAAACAAAACCATATAATATCAGCTATCACTTGTAAGTATAAGCAGAGCCACAGAAAACTTTAGAATCATCTGCTGAGTTAGGATAAGAACTAAATAAGTGAACTTAAAGTAAGATGATCTTGGGCTGGACCAGACTTTTAGGTTTTGTGTTTATATTCTTACATTATATACATAACGGAATGGTGAAACATGATTCATGTAATTGACCCCATATAGGTGGGACAAGTCTAAGACGACGATGATGACATATATAATATTACCAATCAAAATATGATGTTATGTAACATTCTTATATTACATAGCATATATATCATATTTACAAAATATATGATATACTTAATGTAATATAAAATATTGTGTTCAACTATGATGCCAGAAAGACATGATACCGGATAGGATTTGACCAATCAAAATACCCCGTGAATTTTGATGGAAACCCACCCGATTGATTACCCCACTTTTATGATGCCGGTTGATTGATTAGTATATTTTCAAGTATTATGACTTTCTGGCATCATAGTCGACATGCATACATATTCTGGACCAGTCCTGGACATAAAACCTAGGAAGCCTGGAAATTTCCAGCAAAATTTTCAAAAATGGAAAATAAGCAAGCTTTCGTGCTTAACAGATAAAAGTACATGCTATGTAAAGTAAAACCAACCTAGGAACCAAACCCAATAAGAACAATCTGTTATGCACTTGGGCCTCTAACATTCTTTATGGTCAAGAAATATGCCTAACTCACACCAAGTGGAATCAAAACTAACAGTCCTAGCATCCCTAGCAACGTTGGTTGAAGTTGAAGCACTAAGATTGGGATACAATTATATGAACCTAGACCAGGCATAGAAGAAAAAGAACAGAAAATGCTGTTCTTTTTAACTCATGAAAGAAACCACTGAGAGATCCAGTGCTGATGGCAGATATATGGTACTTTGATAGAGTAGGGGAAGATCAACTCATCATCAGGCAGCTTTTATTTTGTAAGAGCCAAGTTTTGGATTAAAATCTAAAAGTTCTTTGTGAAGTCATATTTTGAACTTGTGACCTTAATTTCCCTGCTACCGTATGTCAGCATGCCATACATTTAGGATGTTTGAGTGACCCTGTTAGAAGAGTAGGATGGAAGATCTATTATTTCTTTATTTTCACTCTCCCTCTTCTCTACAAGTAGCCAAACCTTTTAGTTTGTGATCTGTGTTTACATGGTATCAGAGTGAGGTTCTAATCCTGGGGCCAGTGGGTTATGTACTCACCATGCTTCCAAGGAAGATGCTATAAATTAAAAAGAATAAAAAATAAAAAAAGATCAACCTAAAACAATGATTCTACTGTCTGCAGTAACCTTTTTCCCTAGACTGTTCAGCAGTATGTTTATTTGGGCAATTAAGCAGAATATGATACACCAGATATTTGGGATGGTTTGATGAGGTACGTTTGACCAGCAGGTATGTCTTGGTATGGCTTAACGAATAGGTGTTTCAACTCCCATTCAAAAGCCATTAAATTTATTTGATGTAAAAGATAATGCAGAAACAAGTTATGAGCAGCTCTCACTTTGGATGTGACCTCAAGATGACGCCAAAGCTCCTCATCATGTTCTTTCAAGAGCTGTGACAACTTTGTAATTGTGGAACGAATGCCCACAACACTGTTGTCAAGTTGCTGACAAAAGTGGTCGCGAAATCCACTTAACAACTCAACAAAACAAAAGAATGCATCTGCTTCTGCGGAGGCCTGCATGCAAGGTAGAATGGCCAAGTATAAACCATATGAAATTACAGAAGAAAAAAGTGCTAGTTCATTTCACCTTTGATGTATAAAAGTGTAAGTTACATAAAAGCATTCATTTTATTTTACTTAAGAATGTTAAAGATGAGCCATGTTCAACTCCTAATAAATGCTGGATGTAATATATGAATGATGTAGATGAGATGAAACCATATGGACCTCTTTTTCTCTTGATAAGTTATAAGACCTAATTGAGTCTAGCTTTCACCATCATAAAATAATTGTAGGAAGTGCTGAGGTTCCGGATTCTGAAAGGTCCTTGGAGCATTGCTACATAGCCTGTAAAATCCACTTCGTTTTATTGTTGCTCCTGCCATTTTAAGATCTCAGATGCATTGCCAGCAACTGTACCGAGCTTGACTTAGTTTCAGAAGAGACTGGCATACAGGTTTATTCATACCCAACCTATACAAATAAGGGAAAAGATCACACAGCTTTCCAATGCCCAGACAATCATCTTCCCAAAATTTGATTGTTAAACCATCACCAGCCCTAAAGGACACAAGATTGAGAAAAGATTACTGGAAACGCATTATCCCTTTCCAAACACTTACTCCATAAGATGTCTTCACTTCTCTGGAATCCCACCTGAACCCAATAACACCATATTTGCAAGCCACCACTCTTCTCCAAAGCACCTCCCTCTCCAACCCAAATCTCTACAACCATTTCCCTAAAAGAGCTTTATTGAAAATCTCCAATCATCTTATCCCCAACCCCCCATCTTTCTTTCCCTTGCAGACCTTATCCCACTTAACTAAGTGGAATTTCTTCTTAATCCCTTTAAACTCCCTATAAGAACTCATTTTGCAATTTTTTAATCGAATTTATCACAGAAGCTAGAGACTTTAAAAGTGAAAGGTAATAATACCGGGAGATTGGATAGCACACCCTTTATAAGAGTAATCCTTCCATCAAGAGATAGATACCTTCCCTTCCATCCTACCAGTCGTTTGATCTATCCTGTCAAGAACCGTTTGCCAAGTTGAAGAGACTGAAGCTTTTTCCCCAATAGGGAGACCCAAATAAGTAAAAGGGAAACCCCCTACCGAACAACCCAAAGTTGTTGCACAATCCTCCGAAAGAAATTCTGGGATATCACCTACCCCAATCACACACTCTTCTTCAAATTGATTTTTTGTCCTACCAACATTTCATAAAATCTGAGGATCACTCTTAATTCAGCACTTACACAGTTGATGCATCCAGGAATATCAATGTGTCATCTGCAAACTGAAGATGAGTAATGGAAACTCCATTTCTTACTGCTTTAAACCCTTCAAACATCCCAGTCTCTTCTCCTTTACATAATAAGCGGCTTAGAACTTCTGCCACCAAAACAAACAACAAAGATGACAATGGATCTGCTTGTCTCAAGCCCCTTTGGGCTTGAAAGAAAGGTGTGAATATACCATTGACAATAACTAAAAAAGAGACCAAATAATACATGCAAACTGTTAGAGTACACAAAACAGGGGTATTTTGGTCATTTGGGTTTATCTATTTGAGAGTGAAAGGTCTATTTTATTTAAGTTTAAGTTATGTGTCCCATCACTTATGAGGGACAATATGGTATTTCTTGTAACTATGTTATTGGAGATAAATACAAGTGGGTCAACTAGAGAGAGGACTGATTTTCCTCTACTGGCCGAACCCTTCTTCTTCTCCTCTTCTTCTTCTTCTTCTTCTTCTTCTTCTTCTCTACTGTAACCTAGGACTAAATAAGGTTTTCACATGGTTTCAGAGCACATGTAACAAGTTCAGATCTGCTCGTCTTGCTCTTTTATTCTGCTTTACCCAGTTTTTTTATCGCCCTCCTCTCTAGGGTTTTGCAGATTTCTCAAGAACCATTGGGAGATTAAGGGAAAGGTTGAAAAGGAGTGGCCGTTTTTCTCTGTAGGAAGCCTTCATGCCTCCGGTCTGTGGTGCAGTGGCTGTTTGTGGTGATTGGTAGGAAGCTCTCTATTCGATGGTATGAAGAGAGCAGGTTCGGGTGAACAGTGTTCAGCTGAGTACAAGTTGGTTCTGCAGAGTGCAGTGTAAGTGTTTGGTTTAATGGCTGAATGATTTCAGCCCTTGTATTTGGTGTGTGAATGGTTCTGCAATGTGCAGTATAGGTGTTTGATTTAATGACTGAGTGATTTCAGTTCTTGTATTTGGTGTGTGAGTGGTTCTACAGTGTGCAGTACAGGTGTTTGATTTAATGACCGAGTGATTTCAGCTTTTGTATTTGATGTGTAATGTGTATTTGAAGAAGTTAGTGGTGCTGAAAGTGAGATAAGTTTTGTGGAAGTGCGTGAAGTCGTGCTGAATATTTGAAGGTGAATACTCTACATATAGCAGTGATTTCTTTGTAAGGTAAGGTGAATTAGTTAAGATGACATTGATTGGAGATGGGAATGACAATAAAATAGGCGTCATGATTTCTCCAGATTACCTAAATGTTCAAATGACATCTATTAAGTTGAATGGTGAGAATTATGTGTCGTGGGCAAAATCTGTGGAGGTGTTTTTAAAAGCCAAGAAAAAAGTAAAACATGTGAGAGAGGAGAAACCCTCCTCTGATTCTCTAGGGTTTAGTGATTGGGAACATGAAGATGCACAAATAATGACATGACTGTGAAATAGCATGGAACCAAAAATTAGCGTGAACTTTATGTTCCTAGATACAGCTAAAGAAATCAGGGATCATGCTAAGAAATTGTATTCCGGGCAAGATAATACAACTAGGGTGTATCAGTTGTACCAAGAGTACTTTAATCTGAAGCAAGGCARTCAAAGYTTGRAGGAATACTATGCAAGTCTGAGAAATATCCGAAATGAGCTCAATGTGTATCATCCTCTGACACAGGATGTTCAGATTCAGTAACAACAACGTGAGCAACTTCATGTGACAAGGTTTCTGGTGGGTTTGAAGGCTGAATATGAGCCTATCCGAGCACAAATACTGGGGAGGTCTGCTCTTCCCTCACTTGAAGAAGTTTTTACTCGTCTTAGGAGGACATCTATTGAGTCTATAGAGCATTCTTCTCCCTCAGACAGATCTGGTTTTGTGGTGACTAGAGGGGGAGGCCGTGGAAATAGAGGTGGTGGTGGTGGTGGTGGTCGTGGACTTCCAGGTAACCGTGGTGGTCCCATGTTTAACCATGTTGGTGGTCGGAGTGGAGGTCGGGACTCAAGGGGGGTTGTGGTAAAGGAAGAAGTAATGCCCCTAGGAAGTGTACATACTATGGATTAGAGGGGCACACGGTTAATTTCTGCTATGATTTACATGGTCCACCCAACACTTGGGCTAACCATGTTGTGACTAAGGGTAGTGGTACAGCTACTGAAAGTCAGCAAACTGACCCGATCCCCTCCACATCTACTGGTGTTTCTGGGAAGGAGATGGTGAGTGTACCCCGTGCAGTATATGAGCAGTTCCTTCAGACATCTTCTCAACAGAACACAACTACCCTTGCCCATTCAGGTATGGCTTGCTTGGCTTCCAAGCCTTCACATCATTGACTCCGGAGCCTCGGACCATATGACTAGGACTCCTAATGTATTTTCTTCTCTTTCTCAGTCCTCCACATCTCAAACAATTACTCTTGCTAATGGTTCTACATCTCCCATATGTGGTGTTGGTGATGTTGACCTCTCCTCCTTGTCTTTATCATCTGTTTTATATGTCCCCAAGTTTCCCTTTAACCTTATGTCTGCTAGTAGATTAACCAAGTCACTTAATTGTTCCATAACCTTTTATCCCTCTTCTTGTGTGTTTCAGGATCTCAAGCCAAGGATGAAGATTGGTGGAGGGCATGAGGCAAGTGGATTGTATTACCTTGATGGTGGTCGCCCTCCAGTAGCTTTTCAGTCATCTCTTACTCCTCTTCAATGGCACTGCAGACTTGGTCATCCTTCTCTCAAGGCTCTGAAGTTGCTGGTTCCTTCATTGAGTCATCTTTCATCTTTGGATTGTGAGTCATGTCAGCTTGGGAAACATCATAGAGTCTCTTTTAGTCCAAGAGTTGACAGTCGTATCTTGAGTCCTTTCTCTTTAGTTCATTCTGATGTCTGGGATCCGATCAAAGTGATGTCATACAATGGCTATAAGTATTTTGTAATTTTTGTTGATGACTTTTCAAAGATGACATGGATTTATCTTATGAAAGATCACAGTGAATTGTTCTCTATTCTTCAAAAATTTTATGCTGAAATACGTACCCAATTTGGTGTTCATATTAAAATTCTTCGCTCCGATAATGCCAAAGAGTACACCTCAATACCATTTCAGCAATACTTAGAGCACCATGGGATAATTCATCAAACTTCTTGTGCCTACACCCCACAACAGAATGGTGTAGCTGAACGGAAAAATCGACATCTCCTTGAAACTGCTCGGTCTTTTATGCTTAATATGAATGTCCCAAAGCATTTTTGGAGTGATGTCCTCACATTCTGTTTTCTCATCAATCGGATGCCCATGTCCATCCTTGGAAGTCAATCCCCCTTCTCGGTGTTGTTTCCCACCTTGTCTTCGTTTCCTCTCACCCCAAGAGTCTTTGAATGTGTTTGTTTTGTTCAAAACTTGGGGCTTGGTTTAGACAAGTTAGATGCACGAGCTACTAAGTGTATCTTCCTTGACTATTCAAGGACTTAGAAAGGGTATAAGTGTTATAACCCTAACTTCCATAAGTCATTTGTGTGCTCCGATGTCACTTTCTTTGAATCGGTTCCTTTTTTCTCGGATACTGTGGTTTCTTCTCCTTCCCCCGTAGTTCCTCTTCCCGTCCCTGTTGCGAATCCCCTTCCCGTGGTTCCCATTCTAGTTGCAGATTCACCTCCCGTGCCAATTGCTACTGAGAGGCCACCAATCAGACAAGTGTATACTCATAGAAGAGCACCAGCCCCTCCTCCAATTCAGCCCTCGTCAACAGATCCTGTCATTGCTTCTTCTCCCTTGG